ATATATTTATATATATTCATACATATTGGTGACAAGTTAATTGCACAGTTACTGTGAAATAATGCATGCTATTTTATGGTAATAATGCAGTAAATCTATTGGAAACAATGGAACTGTAATTATATGGTAAGCTGTGTTAACGATACCACTTTAATATCCTGATGACTGTGAATTTAACTTATGTCAGCATCGTATGCACCGTAAAGTGATATACTGCATTCCTTTCCAGGGTATAATATTAAAGCAACATAATTACATATTTCTTAGGTTACAAATAGTTATAGTGTCCTGGATTAGAAGTTAAATATTAACAGAATAAACATCATGGAGAAAATCTTGGCCTCACTGAATTCAACAGGAATTTTCAGTGGGGCCAGGATGCCTTTCGTCATATCATAGAATCACAGAATCATCGAATGCTTTGGGTTGGAAGGGACCTTGAGAGATCATCGAGCCCAACCCCCCCGCAGTATCTCTCTTGCTACATTTGCATTGACACACCTCCGGTCAGGTTGGTGTTGTACGTGTCCCAGATCCTCCTGACAGTCCTGTAACATGGGCTGGAGTTCTTCCTGGGGAGAGGGGGTGAGAGTGGCAGTTGACTGATGGCTATAGGAGACAGCGGCTGGAGAGGAAGCTGCTCCTCGGACAGGTGGAGTAGGACCTCGTTCATCTTCTTCCTCTTCCTCTAGCTCATCCTGCTGCAGATACATCCTTGCAGGTGGGACAGGACAAGGAATTTCTTGGTCATAGCTAAAATTAATTTTTTAAGAAAATAAGGACTTGAATTTTTACTGTGTAATTAACGTATTTGATACATGTATAAATAGCCCAGAAAAAAAAAAATCATTGTTATATGTGCTCTTGAAAACAGCTTAGTAAGGATGTACTGAGTGGATGTACACCTCTGTCAGTAAGTGATCTCTAAATAGCCACACTACAGCTAGATGAGGAGCACCAGAATGGTGCTGAAGGAAAGTCTCGCTGCCAGCTTGTAGGGCAAATTACAGTTCAGTTAACTAGTGATTGAAGTGAGAAATAGAAGATGTATTCATTTTTCTTACCTTTCATCTACTGAAAGACTGTACTCTTCACTATTGCTATGGGGAGGTGGATGTGCTGGAGGGGGTGGAAGAAGATCTGCCCAGTTCATGCCAGCTTGCTTGGGAGCCTTTGGGGTCCGAGCACCCTTCTTGTGCCCTTGACTCCCTGTGAATAAAAAGCAGTACATACTTGTAATGCTTTTAAGTATCTCCTCACAGCTAGCTTCGAAAACCAAAATAACCATAGTCCCTCCCAGATCCTCTTGAATTCTCTGGGAATTTACTGTTGTGCTCAGTTGGAATAAACTGGCATTCCTCCTTTTTACACCAGTTTGTAACTGTAGCTTCTTTGTAGAATTACTCTATATTTTAAGCAGTTGAATTTAACCAGAAACTTTACATAGCATGGAAAAAAGCACACAGGATACAAAACGTGAATTGTTAATAAATAGTCAAAATGCGATAAAACCATAAATGAATTTTACAAGCAATGTCATTAAGAGTGAGCTTCCTACTTCTATTAATTACATTATAGATTATCATCCAAAACAAATGAGCTGTAGATGTATTTTCTAAAGTGCCTTTATACTATTTAATTGCTGGAACCTAAAATACAATATGATACAGATATGATCTATTAAAGTTCCACCGTTGCATTAAGTCACTGAATATATGTAATTTGTACTTGTCCACTGAAACGTTTTAGGCACAATGAAATTGCTAGTTTTAGTCTAAATGGCAGGTGCAGTTGAAAATAATTGCTAGAAGAACTAAAATAACAGAAGAAAGAAGATCGATGAAGTATGGCACAAATGTTTTCAACTACTATTACTGGGAATTTATAGCTCATAATAGAACAATGCAGCTGCAACAGTTCCAATAACTTTGAATAAGACCAATTATTCAGGTGGTCTTGAATTTTAACTTTGGACATGGCTATGATCAGAACTGACTCTACCATTATTCCTTGTTGTTGTGCTGGTTTTGACTGGGGTAGAGTTAATTTTCTTCATAGTAGCTAGCATGGGACTATGGTTTGGATTTGTGCTGAAAACAGGGTTGATAACACAGGGACGTTTTAGTTACTGCTGAGCAGTGCGTTCTTACACAGAGTCAAGGCCTTTTCTGCTCCTCACCCCACCCCACCAGCGAGCAGACTGAGGGTGCACAAGAAGCTGGGAGGGGACACAGCTGGGAAAGCTGACCCCAACTGACCAAAGGCATATTCTATACCATATGTCATCATGCTCAGCATATAAAGCTGGGGGAAGAAGGAGGAAGTGGGGGGACATTCAGAGTGATGGCGTTTGTCTTCCCAAGTAACTGTTATGTGTGATGGAGCACTGCTTTCCTGGAGATGGCTGAATGCCTGCCTGCCCATGGGAAGTAGTGAATGAATTCCTTGTTTTGCCTGGCTTGCGTGTGTGGCTTTTGCTTTCCCTATTAAACTGTCTTTACTTCAACCCATGAGTTTTCTCACTTTTACTCTTCTGATTCTCTCCCTCATCACACCAGCGGGGAGCAAGCCTGGGTGGTGCTTAGTTACTGGCTGGGGTTAAATCACGACAGGTATACATTTTTATCCTTCTTTGTTATTGTTACTTCTTTAGTTGTAGATAAAGTCACTGTATTTTTGAGTTTTACGATCCTTCACATTTCTCTCCAACTGAGGCATGGCTTTATATTACCATAGTTAAGCCTTATACACGTGATTAAATACGTTGCAGTGAGATTTAGGAAGCTTGTTTTTCTCACTTCTGCCGTCTCAGATTTTCCATTCTTATGGACAGTAGTTCTGCTTATTATTGTCCCACATTAGCTGCCAGATACAAATATGTTTTAGCTATGTACAATTATTTTTCTGGTATCTCAGTATGTCAAGCAAACCCTAACTATCCCAAGGCAACCATCATCTGCATTCTCTACCCTAAGCAACATGATATATACTAGGTTCAGCACAATTAATTTATTACTCTGGTCACCTTGCTTCATTCCTAAAAAAAACCTTGGTACAGGACTATAAATTGTTAGCCTTATGAATAACCATAATAGGTGTCAGCATGGAGAATACCACCTTCTCCTTTTTAATTTGCATGGGTTCATACCCCTGAGATGTTTCACGCTGAATTTCAGTTCTTAAAGTCATTGAGCACAGGCTAAGCACCACATCATGATGTTATAGACCTGGGAACGGGCAAAAGGCTGGCTCCCAGAAGAACACTCCAGAGCAGCTGGGAGAATCAGGAGTCGTGCTTATCTCACCCCAGCCACTGAGAATTCAGGTCACCCAGAGGCACAGTAGGCTCATCTACAGGTTTATGCCTCTGCTGTGCCTCAGTCACAATCAGTCAAGATGGAGCACAGGTTAGGATTAAGGCAACCAGACTATCAAAGGCAACAGCTGAACAAAAGGTGGAAAGGCAAGTCTTCATCTTGATTAGTAGATGTAAAGTCCAGGGTGCTGGTGACTGTGACCATAACTCACCCTATAATTGGCTTGATGTAACTAAACGTAGGCTAAGTATCAGACTTACAGTAAAACCCCAAACCAAGCCTACGCATAGTTTCTGGTTTAGCTCTGAACATTTCACACACCACTACCAGAAATCAAAGCTGAAAGTGAACAGGTTATACCGTAAAGAGAAGCAATATCTTTTGAATCAAACCATGTTCTGTGGTTCCAAAGCACAGCGTGCAATTTCAGTGCCCTGGTCAGCATTCTACAGCATAAAAAGCTGTTTTGTTTCAAGATTCTTACAAAGGACTTTTAGGTATTTTGCACAGGAGATACCGATGAGAAAGAAAATTTAACTGTAATTATCTACTGTCTATATTTGAATGATGTACAAGAATAGTTTTCATATATAGCCACTGAAATCTATAAAAATTTTATGTATGCATGCATGCTTTTTTACTCAGTAACATGCATGGGTTTGATTTTAAAAATGAAAAATTTCTTAAAGCAGTTCTGTTAGGTACGACTAAAACGTTCTGGTATCTTGACCCTGTTCATGAATAAAGTTGTCTTGGGCAAGTAGACACAAAAAGATGGCAGAGAAGTCAGTAAAGTACCAGAAAGGTAATACATAAATGAAAATCCTCTTTTTTGTGACAGCTGAAAAGGAATTTCTATGACTTGCCCATCTGGAGGCCATAACATTAACCAGTAGGGCATTAACATTAGGAAATCCAACTTCTATTTGATTTCATGATTTTCACAATTTTGGACAATCCAATCAATTACTTAATTGACATTTAGATGGCACTAAGCAATCATGAGGATGCAACAGAAACATAGGCACCTCCTGGGCCAGTTTTTACGCTGTTTAACATCCCTGTGCTGTATTACTGTCAGTGGGTCCCCCCCTACCATCCCTTCTGTAAGCCCAGTAACTAGTGCTAACTACAGCTAGAGTGTCCAAACACCAAAAAACCCAAGGTTTGGAAAACACTGTAAATACTCACCAGATGTACTACTGCCTCTGTCCGAGCTGTTGTAGGATCCACCTGTATTCTGGTCGTATGACTGGTTGTATGGAATAGTTGGAGCAATGTTGTCATTTACCCGGTAATCTGCAAGTTTAATAGTATAGTTAATGCCACCCTTCAGAAACACATCTACTTTTATATACCCGCTTTATAACACAAAGTAAGATCTCCTGAAAATAGTGAGGAAGAAATAAATTCATTTTTTGAAAGGAAAATCATCCTGTAATCACGTTTTATTTTTATCTTCTCTCTAATTGTAAGTTTAAGGAAAACCATGGGAACTTAGTAGCTCCACAGCAAAAATGAAGTAAAATGAAGTCCTATGCACAGGGTTGTCCCAATGCCTCTGCAAGGATTAAGTCTCAGTGTCTCAATATACGACCTGTGTAAGCATTTTGCATCGCACAGACCTTGATTGATTTTCCATGGTCTCTGCTTAATTTATGCATGCAGGGCAGCCAATGGACTGTGGTAGCTACTTTTTGTATTCCAAAGGTGACAAACCCAGGTAGGAGTCAGCCCTGCATAACAAGGGCTGAATGGTCTGCTGGAGCAACAATGCAGCTCCACTGAATCTGGTTTACAACAGAAGACTTCTTTGTTCAATGCCTGCTGGCTCCAAGAAGATTTCTATTTACATTGGGTCATGCAGATTCTAGCTACAGGCAGGGTGGTTTTTTGCTTATGGCTATTACCGTAACTTCCTTCTGCAGTTCCAAAGCACTGGATATACATATGTTACTTTTAAATCTAGATTTGGCAACCAGATCTGTAAAACTTTATCAGAAGTAAAATACTCATCTGACAAAACAGTACTCTCATGCCAAAAGGGAATTATAATTTACAGAGAACAGAAAGGAGCTGAGTTACTCTTCATACAGCAAATAAAACTGCGTCATAAACAGAAGCACTGGACATAAAGTAGTGACAAAGAAGCACAGCATGTAACTTATCAAAATGGTTATTTCCCATCACAAAAGCTATAGGTATAATTGTCAGCAAGATGGTTTTGACTTAGGAAATGAGAAAACCAAGATCAGAATATTGACTCATAAAATAGCAAATCAAAACAAAAATAAACAAAACTAAGAATCCAGTCCCCATCTGCTGCAGAAATGATTGTGATAATGTAAGCATGGGAAAAAGAACAAAATGATAAATTCCACACCAGAGTGTATTCTGTAATAGTTTCTCAGCCTAGTTGCATTCCAGAGACCACGCTGAAGCCCTACATACCGCATATGTTTACACAGAGGATAAACAGTAAATCAACGCTCTGAAATATGTATATATGACTGTCAGCAGACAATGCTTTAAAGGGGGCCTTTCCACACTACAATATGCTGGAGAATATGCAGCTGTAATATACACAGTTTGAAAGATGCAGTATCTTCCAGGGCATAAAAACCAAACACGTTTTAATTCCAAAACAGATATGTAATACACAGCTCATGAAAGAAAACATAATTACAAAAAAAATACAGCTTTCACCCTCTAGTAAGGAGCCACAAAAATTGAATTTTCTTTTGACATGTTTATGTCAAGGGAAGTTGTCACATTTTATATTGCCCTTTGAACTCTTCTGTGAGTAGATGGGTCCGGTAGAGAAATCAACATTCCTGTAATGAAATGTGTTTACTGGATAACTTATCACTATGCGATCACTTGAGTTACAACAATCCATGCAAAAAGTTCCAAGTTAGAATGGGTCCAGTTCCTAGGGATACTGTTTTGCAAATCAGGTTATTAAAAGAGGTTGCATGGTAGCCTGGAGGACTAGCAAGAAATCACATACCTATTTCTTCCAACTCCCACACATTATATTAAAGAAACATGCCCTCAAGGCCACAAAAGTACATTCTGATGTTTCCCGTTAACACTGAAATCAATTTATTTTTAGCTTCTGGATCCACAGACTTCAGTCAGGGTAACAAAGGAATTTAGTTTCCAAAACCGTGTGCTGTAGCATTGCCTCTCAATATGTGAATCGAAGGCTTGCTAGGAACAAGTCTAAAATGAATTGGATCACTCCATTTGTGTCCCTAGTGTACAACACAATACAATTTTACAGAGTTTGATATGCAAAATGTCATTCGTTTACATGAACATGTAGATTTAATTAGTCTCCATCCACGACTGGGAAGAGTGGGTTGACCTATTTAAAATTTAAGGTAGAGTATAATGCGACTACCATGCATCTGGCTTATGAATAAAATATCTGGCCTCTGTCCTAACCAATCCCTTAACTACTATTAAATTTAAATTAATCTAAAATCCATAGGAAATGTATTTAACTCTTTTCTAAAGATACAGCTTGTTATTTGTTGTAATAAATTAAATATCTGAAGGTTATTGTGGTGCTAATTAACTTTCTGACACTGCTAACTGTGGATTTCTAAATCTAAAGAGGGAGACGTCTAAAAGCACCACAGAAGTGTGTAATTGCTAAACCTGAAAGATTTAGACTCCCAGCACCAGAAGGTCAAAACTCCTCTGATGCCTAAAGAGGAGAAACAAGCTAAAAGCTCTTCACCTTTGTTTAATTTGTTTTGCTCCATAATGTTGTACTGTATGGGTGCAACCTCTTGCTTTTGCTGAACAGAGGGTTTCCAGTGTTTCTCATTCGTATCCCCGCTGCCACTGTTAACATTATTGCTGATATTTGACTGGATGAGTTGAGTGGTGGCATAAGGAGTGGGCTGCCCAGGCTGGCTGACAAATCTTCCGTCCTTTAGATTTGGACTATTGAAGGTTTTCATCTCATTGATTTTGTTGCTGAGGTCCACGTCACCATATACAGTTGACTCAGGCAACATCAGGTTTGTTTGCTTGTTGTCCAGCTGATTGTTGTAATTTGCTATACAATCGGCTAACCACAGAGGAAAGAAAAAAGAAAAGGTCATTCTGTTCGCTTACACCATACTTTCAATGAAATTCCCTTTAAAAATTTTTTAGTGCATAACTATATGGCTTGCATCCATGAAGCAAAGATACTGTAATTAACTAAATAATTTATAGAATATTATCTACCTTATAAGCTACTGCTTCAAAAGTAGTGTTCACTGTTTTGATTCACTGTAAATTCAGACCTTCTGAATTGTATCTACAATGACTTACCTTGCTGGGCTTTTTCTACAGTGGCCATATAAAGATTCTCATTTTTCGACATTATTCTCAGAGCAGTACAGATACCCAATCAATAACTGTGATTAAAATAATTTGCATTGAATGGAAAAATCAACCAAAACTTAATAGTGGGAATAACTAAACATGACAGTCATCTCATGTCTTCTCAACAGCATTTAGACTTTCTTGTACTTGTCATAAGAAACAGAGATACAACAGATTTTTATAAAACAGACTGAAAAATGATTACACATAACAGAATTAAAGAGAAACAGTACAACGTGAAAGGTAACTCAGTACCCAGTAGCAAGTCTTTATTTGATCATCGTTTCCTTGTACAATCTTATAATTTGGTTTGAAACATAAAGACAGGAAAGCAATCTGGAATTTTTGCTCATTTTTAGTTGCTTTGGATATTGCAAATTTAATAATACCAGAGTAATACTGTTGTCCTGTATGCTAAATTTATATCATATAGACGGCATGAATTCATTCTTCTAACAGTTATTGCATTATGAGATCACCACTTATTGCATAGAGTAAATTAGACATGTACTGATGCTCTGGCCACTACTGTGTGAACCAGGTGCGCCTGCCTTTCCATGTTCTCTTGCCTCTGCATGATAGCAGCTCCACACACTTTTTTCCCCTCTCCATATCCAGTCCACTGGAAGAATACTGAATGGAATAACACCGTCTGTGGGTCAGCAGTTAGAAGGCTTAGTGAAACCAGTATTCAATCATCATTAAGCAAAAATTCTCATTTGCCAGCTGATTAATGCATCAATAATTACATAACAATCACCAGGAAGATAGTATTCCTCTTTTAAAAGATGTGGTATTCATGCTAATGAGTTTGATTCAAAACCTGAAGTCCCTTACCTGTGGCCACAATTAATTTACTGGAGAGGGTAGCAAGTAAAACTAAATACAGAATTCAGGATTTGACCATTATAAGAAATGAAATAACTACTAAATATAGAGGATGTTAAATTTCAAAAGTATTCCCCAATATGTACATCTTTTTTGAGAAATATTTCCTGAAAAAGAGAAGTAAAATTCTACTTGAGGAAGGAAACCACTGATCCACATTTTCAGTGATTAAGGAACAGTATCAGAACATGCCACATAAAACTTATCATTGTACATTTCATGCCCCCCAGCTTGTGTTTTTTGAAGGTTTTACTGTTTGAAATATTCTTCTTTCATATGTGAGCTGTTATTTATTGCTTTACAGTCTTCAACTTCTTGATTTCTACTTTTAATATATTTTCATTTCTGCTTTTTCTCTCACCTACTGAAACCATGCTAGTCTTTCCTCCTTTCCAAGTCTATTGTATTATACAGGGCAATTATATATCCAGCATATTCTTTATTCATAATGCCTCATGCTTTGCTATAATATCCATGCAGAGTCACTTATAACATATTTTTGCCTCCTTCCATTTTCAGCTACATCTGATTTGTGTGTAGGGCAATATAATCGATACAGTATATGCAGTAGGTACATTTTTTTTACACAGACGCATTAGAATTCCTCATACAAAGTACTTAAACAAAACCGGTTTACCTATATCACAGAAGATTTATTCTGTCAGATTTTTTTATAGCATCCACTTTTAGAACAACCCGTTCCCATTCTGTAGACTTGGAAGACAGTGCTATACTCAAAAGAAATTAAAAATGCACAGTTACTTAGCATATTCACAGCTACAGAGGGGATATCCAACTCTGCTGCTTCAGAGCATAAGCCAAGCCCAAGCTGACCATAATTAAGAAAACTTGCCAGATTTTTGAGGACAGAAGAGACCACTATAAGCATCTTGTCTGACCCTCAAGCTCATAAGCTCTACTTGAAAGGAAGTAGGAAGGAATCACTTTGCAACACAACCAAGCTTAATATAAAAGCTAAATTGAGAAAGAATCCACTGCACCTCACGACAAGATGTTGTAACTTTATAACCCGCAAAAATGTGCATTTTCTTCCTTTTCTGAATTTGTTAAGTTTCAGTTACTAGAACTTGGTATGTCTGTACTTGCCACAATAAAGTATCTCTGTATCAGAAACATTTTTACATAGGTATTTGTGGACGTGATATCCTCAGGCAGGGTAAGATACAAGTCTCTAATGTTAAAATCTCTCACCTTCCTCTGAAACACCTGGCACTGATCACTGTCAGACAGCATATTGCAGGAGATGAATTACCACCATCACATTATGACTGGTTTCACATTAATTACAGGAGGTAATGCTGTTTTGCACTTATGCAACTTCACTACAGGTAATCATGCTCCCTCTCTGAAATGCTGGGAAACGCTACTAGCAAAGATCAGCTAGAGATGCTGGTAGTGGAAAAGACTTGTTTTCATTCCTCACCAGTAACAGAAACCAGGTTAAACCAAAAGGAACCTAAGGTCCATTGAAAACAAAATGTGCAACATTTAGTACTTCCAGATATATTTCCCCAACCGTGTTCCCATGGAATTCACGAGGTTTTCTTCAAGAGCACTCTGAGTCCTGCCCAAGTTCCCAGGAACTACCACTTAACCTAACATTTCATAATTGCTTTTAGAGTGTGAAGTTAACTTTTTTATCCACATGCCCTAAACAGAAAACCAGCTATCCAATTTTGTACAGAATGGCACCCCAAGGGAGGTTTTGAACGTGCCAAAGTAGACTGACTGCTTTGCAAGTACTGTGGCAATATTTTATTTCTTGCTTCCCATCACACCTAAACCAGAAGAAAAATCTCACTAGTGTGTTTTGGTGCTTCTCCATCCAAGCAGCAAGGATGTATAGAACAACCTAAAAATGACCTTATCCGCTTTTTTTCAGATGCTGAAACATACCAGTTCAGCGTGACTTTTGGTAACCACTACTGAACTTTGCAGGGGCTCCTTCAGCCTACAGCTTGCTACAACTATCCAAATGGGACTGAAAAAAGGGATCCAAGAAGGGACTGAAAGCATAAGCATGACAGAGAGGAGAAACTATATTGTCTAAATGCATTGGAAATAAAAAACCCCACCCAAACACCAAATACATACACTCTCTCAGGTATTGGAAGTATATACTCTGTAAAGAAGATTCATTAACAAGATAGAAACATATCTAACCTGGTCGACTGTATGTCGTAAGGTTGCTATCACTGTTTCCGTTGCCAGAGGTGCAGCAGTTGATGGAGCAGTCATTGTGATTGTTCCCTGTGTTAGGCCAAGTATCTGCTAGCCATGGCTGAGTGGCTGGTTCACTGATGTTTAGGAGTCCTGGCCTTTAAAAACAAAGCTTAGTCATTTCAAAAATTAAACAAAAGCTTTTTCACATTGCAATTATATTCTTCTCAAAAGGCTAGATATTACAAAACAATATCACATATTTAAAGGCTTGAGCATTGGAAAATATGGCTTGATTCAATTATTTAATGGTTTCTAGTCTCCTGCATAACCTGTTCCTTGGTAAGACGCTCTGAAGTGAACAGCCAAGGACAGTATCAGTTCAGTTTGCTGGACTACACATATATGTTTGTGTGCAACCTTTAACTGTCACTTTGGTTTTGTTTTGCTTTTTTCTGGGAAGGTTGCATTTTTATTTTTCTGCCCCTCTCCCTTTCTTAAAGAAAGCAAGGTAAAAAAGGGGAAATTGGCAACTCAAACAAAAAAATTCATGCATGGAAGTGAGACAGATATGCAGAAATAAGAGCCAAGTTTGGATGTGAATAGTCCCAAATTCTTGGTGATTTCTGAAGCCAAGTTCTCCTCACCATCAGATAGTACTACTGTAGCGGATCAAGGAGAACAGCAGACTACAGAAACTGCTGTAGCTTGGGAGTATTTGGATCTCACTAAGCATACCGAGTGTGCGATACGTCTTTGTTAATGAGTAAGCTGCTCACTTAATCTTTATGTGGGTGGAACAGCAGCAGCTCCTAAGCAAGTTTAAAGTAACTGGGAATACTGAACACCTTTAAAGCTATCCAGATATCAATTCTGCATATTGGCTGCATTTGGAATTAAGCGTAGTTAATTCTGCCATCAGCAGAAAGAAATAGCATTCCTTGGCTTCCAAGTTGCTGAATTTTTCTAGTGAGTGTGAAAGATGCTCCGATGAATGTTTTGCAGAATCTTTCGTGCCTCTTCAGTTTTCACACTAATAGTGCAATGGCATGTTATAAAGTCCCACAGAAGTAGCATCCCCTAACAACTTAAAATTGCCTTTGATAACTAAGGTGCTTTCAAAAATAAGTAATTTTAGCCACTGTTATATCAAAAAAAGGGAACGTAGTCTCTTTTCTTACAGGATTTAACGGGCAACTTTCCATTTGAAATAGTGCAAAAACTAGTTTCCACAATATTAGATGTGATGGTCTTCAAAAATAAAATATGCTAATCCTCTTAAACTGCAAGTTGAGAATACAAACTGCATGCAGTTAGCTGTGGGGGATACAGTCTGTCAGTGCTGCAGGCTTAAGTCATAGTCTTAGAATGACATTTAAAAGATCTATACGTACATGTGTATACATATTTCTGTACTGGATATGCCATCTGACAATTTAACATAGGAGGTGATGAGGCTTGACTTACTGTCAGGCTAACAAACCAGCCAATACACATGCACTAAACAAGTATTTTCTGTAAATCTGAAATAAATGTACAGCTAGGTAGTCCTGTGAGCAGGCCAGCTGATTTGAAATACCCTGCTTCTTTCCCTACCACTCTGTTCTTACAATGAAACTACACCTCACGGCATTTGGAGAAGACAAAGCCTTCCGGAATGTTTCAGCACTTTCAAGGCCTGTGTACTGGATTTTTGGATAGAGAGTGAAAGGTCCTTTGCTTCTAAAATTCACTTTGCATTCACATCTGCTGTCACGTAAGAAATGTGGTGTGAGGTATGTCAGTAGATGAAAACTCCACTGATTGGAGCCATTTAGGTGGAACAGTAGGCAAGAGATGTTTGCATTACAGCTCCATAGCCTGGTGATGATCGGAGATCTTCATTTTGAAAGATCTTTAACCTTTGCAGAAAATTCCTAGAATCCTTGAAATTACTGTACTGGGTCTGGGGTGGGGGGTGGACTGAGCAAGCAGATGTGTGGGTGCCTGGCTGCTGGCTGGAGTCAATCCACCACAATTATCATTACTTGAATCCTGTCTAGAAAAGGGATTGCCACAGACATGGGTATTTTTTCAGCATCGCAGAAGTAGGGATACGTTGAAACATATCACTGTGACATTTGAATTCTGAATAATGCTTTAACATGCTCACATAACTGCACTTGGCAAATATGCTAAACCTCTCAAAAACATTGCAGATATAATTTAAGGAAGTGAAAACCTTAAGTTTGGAAATCAGAGTAAAGGTTTCATGTGTAAAAATAACTGGTTTTTTAATATTGCAGAAGTATATTTCATATTCTACAAAACACAATACAACATAGTCTGTAAATGCTATATATGCAAATGAACAAAAGAAGCATAGATGTTAGCACCTTGAATCAATTACACTGCTAGATTGTGGCACTGATCCTTAAAACTAGGACAGTAAAAAATGATGCTGCTTCTGTAGCAGCACCAAAATGACTGTATATGATGTAGACAGTTCTGGGTTCATTTCTGTCCTCTGACTCTGTAAGTGTGCTTTGTCTAGCTTGTGCTATGGGAAGAGCGAGAAAGCACAGTGGCACAAAGAACACAAAGGATGTTAACTGTGTATCTTTTTGAACATTCTTGTCAGGGAGGTTCATCTCTGTTCTCTCTTATTTTCTCACTACCCTGGGGTGAAGGCAGCAACCCAGTGATTTACAGATTTGTCCATTCAGAAATCACACTGTAACTGTTCTAGAGGTTTTCCTCCATGGTTTTATGGCTATGACAACACAGCAGCATACAGTGCTGGACAGAGATATCTGCAACTGTTCTTAATGTGCCAGGTTCAGCAGCAGCAGAGTAGCCTCGCCTCTGCACAGCATTCAAGTAGACTGGGAATGTTTAATTTTATGCCTCATGTTTACCATTACCAAAGCTTTGTATGGTCTTGCAAATTAGGAATCGCAAGATGCCACTTGTGAAACAGGAATTGATATAGGAATTTATTGTCCAGCTGGTCTCTGAGATTTTAGAGTTTGTTTCAGCATCATGCCAAATCTTTAACTGACATGCTTATAAAAAAGGCATGCTTGAATGTGACCTGGGGGGTGGGGGTGGGAAGGTGTGCTACTAAAGTGACACTGCTCTGACCTGCCTTTTTGCTAAAACCTTTATTTTGCCTCCTGAAGAAAACTCCACCTCTACACAGGAAATGTAAATTACTGTTTGTCCACTGCCATTCATTAAGTGTAAACCCAGTAAACGTGTTTTAGCTAAATCCTCAGTCTGGAGTGAGCTAGGTTCTCAAAGCAGGGGGCTTTAAATTTAAAGCCTACCTGTTTCCCTCTCCTTCAGTGCCCTGCCTCTTGCAAGAGATGCTTTAACTGTTTTGCATTCAGAGCAATATTTTTTTCTTAAAAAGTCACCTTATAAGCCGTTTATGTCTTCAGCAATTTTTTCCAATAAACGTTTTCTTTCTTTGTAATATTTGTGAACCAGCCATATTTCTTAATCTTCATAAATGCCATGACTTAATTACTTTTACTCCCTTGATCAGCTGGTAAGCCAGGTCGTTATTTTGAAGTTAAAGTGCTCCCTCTGCTGCTCATTTTTTGAGATGCAGTTTTTGCAGGTGAACAAAGCTGAAAATACAACTCATTCTTTGGAAATCAACCTAAAAATTCAAACCATATATCCTTCTTCTAAACAGGAAAACATATGGTCAAAATATATAAATTAACATAATAAATTAAAACATATCGTTGCAAGTGATTATTCTGCTATCACTTACAAGGACAATTGCAGTCCTAGCATCCTTAAATTTAGTAGCACACAATTTATAGCTTTAAAAATAAAGCACATAATTACCTGCCTCCACTGCTTACGGCCTCTCCTCCTCTCTGATACGTTACTGAAATAGTTAAGATAAAAAAAGGAAATAATTTAAAAATCACTCCTTAAATTACTCCTTAAATAGCAGTATTAAATTTGCCTTTGTTTCATTTTAGCTAAGACAATAAACGTGCATTGTTTATATATTAATTCTGAGTCTCATTCTATTCTGAGTCTCATTCTGCAAGCCATTCCTTCAAATGCGAGTTTATACATAATACTTGTGTTGCTTGATAACTGCTAGTCTTAGCTCCAACAAAGTTTTATATTTCAGTTCTGTTCTGAAAAACACACACACACACGTATCACTTAAGAAAGCAGGAAGCCATACATCAGGTTGAACTTGTCCTTAACATAACTCTGCTGACTTCAGTGGAGTTAGTCTGTGGAAGAATTTAGGTCATATATTTATTTCATGAATGGCTAGATGTTAAAGCTTTGCTCTACCTTATTATTTTGGTAGGAGGTATGATAATTCTGTAACAGAACTTACTTCCAATGTAAACAATGGCTCACTACAGCTGAACCTACTGCAAAAACACATGCTCTTTCTGAATGTTACTATACTCATGGAACAGGCACACTCTAGAAGTCCACAGAAGCTTCGCATTGTGTAAGATTTTACAACTGGATTTATTAATGATACTTTTTAATCTAAAATTTTAAATGTATAAAACTTGGCAAAAAATGTCTGGCAGAAATACTACTTCCTAAATTACAAGGAACGGTTTTGCTAGCATTTCAGAAACATTACACACTAACAAAGTGGATGTCCACATGCATTTATTTGTTAGCATGGATTGCATATCCTTCACAGGAAGCATCAAGGTTGAAAAGTTAGTGTTTAGGATGCAAACATCCAAGAAGAAACATTGCTATAAATTCTGCAGGTTTGCATTGGGTTTGGCAAAGGGTTAAGGAGATTGCCTCCCGGCAAATGCTGATAGATTCTATATTTTCCAACTGGAATGTGTTGAAAAAAAGCAGCCAAATTCTGCTCTTTAGAAGAACTCCAAACTGGGAGTCTGCAAGAGAGAGATAAATGCTGGCAGTGATTACAATAACAGGATTAAAATGTAGGACGCATCGCTACAGGTAAGTCTTTTACTATAGGTAATGCTAAAGAAGAGGGTCTGCTTCCATTTAAAGTCAATGGAACTAATGACTGAGATCCTGGATTGAAAAAGGATCTTTTTTCCTTTAAATGTTTTACACACTTTGTGTTTTTTCAAATTTCTTCTTTAAAAAACTCAGTGCTATTTATTTTGCAGCTCTGACATATCTTATGGAGTCCTGATATTTTCTTTTAATGTTAAGAATCCAACCGAGAAAATATATGTTAGCTAACCTACCAACCTCTTCAGAATTTCAGTAGTGTGCTACAATTGTGATTGCAATAGAAGCCCTCTGTTAAGCCAATTAAAGTAACAGCAAATAATAATAGTTTGAATTAGTCTCCACCGTGGATCTCAAAGGACTTCAGAAACATTAAGGGCCACTCTGACTCATGCCGAACAGTAAGCAACTCCACTGAACATAATAGGATGACTTTTGAAACAAGATACTATTCAATGTGATTAAAAGCACGTGGATAAGAATCTAAGCCATTACAATTAGGTCTGTGCGGATGAATGCAGGCAGGCATGAGATTGCTTCACCGGCGGTCCAGCATGGAAGGATGTAACTCAGCTGCTGCCCAGAGGCCAAATTAGTAGAGTGCTGATTTTGAGCTAATATACCCTGCTAACGTGAGCGTGCAGAGGAGGGGGTAAGTGGTTTTTTGCCCTGCCTGGATATACATGTCCTGCAAGTTTCATAGACCTCTTGTGAAAATAAGGGATTTAGAACAAAGGAGGAAGAAACAGCCTGTCTGTTCACTCAGGCTGTAGTTAAACGTAATGCACGCAGTACACCGGTGGGTACCGCAGGTGTTGAGTTGTATCTACTGCGGAGGAAGAGCTGCCGAGCTGCCCGACTGTGGGACTGACTGAAGGTCAGCTCTACAGAATGGAAAGGCTCTCACGGACTTTGGTGGGCTATGGCTCAGGTTGTGTCATATTTTGTACATTTCCAAGCAAAAAGAAGATGATTTTAAACCCACCCTGAATTTGAAATGCACCTCTGTTTATGTAGAACAGGATGATTATTTTAAAATTTCATAGCACAAACACAGTTTAAGGCAGTAAGCAAAAAAATGTAACTGCTATAGCACTTTGATTTTCTGTATCTCCCAAAGCAGACAACTCCTAGGTCAGTGGATTAATGCAGATTCAGAAGAAAGAAAAGAAGCCAATGTTTCACCAACTATAATCCTACTGAACCCCTTTCAAGGCAGCATCTGGGCTCTGCTAAGTCACTCGCCCTCCATCACAAGCACCTTTTGCATCGCTAGATGCAAAGGCCACACTACTCCATCGTAATACGCAAGAAGAGAGCCCAGGTTGTACAACCTGACGGGATCATGCTGCAAAATGGCATGCTTGCATCAAACGGTACGCTACAAAATGGTACACGCAAACAGAAAAAAGTGTCAGCTACAAGGCAAATATAGACTACTTAGAGAAGAAAATAATGATACCTGTCATTAATGAAATTGTTTAAAAAACCTTCAGGACAGCTGGGCTGGTTACGTCAGAAAAAGAGAAACAGTACCACAAACACATGCTAAAGTAACAAAGAAGGGGGGAAAAGTGCAAATATATACCTGTTGGTGTGAAGGTAAAAGACGGGACTGAAAAATCAAAACAAAATACAAACTGGTTATTAAGCTGAAGAGAGAAAGGGAAACATACCACATTAGTATAAATCTAGCAGACAGCTGAACATAAAACAAATGTATATAACTAACCCAGTAGTTCAGTCACATTGATATAGAAATAAAATTAAATTTGCAATTCAGAAAGAAGCTTGTCTCTGCAGGTACTATTCTGAAAAAAAAGCTTGATATTCTATTGTGCTCCTGAGGGGACCGGGCTGTGGTTCAGCCTTTCAAATACCCCTCAGTCTGGTGTTTTAAGTTTTTCTGAAAATCCTAGCACAAACGAAACCCCCACACTGTTAATCATTTTAGAATGCAGAATGACAAATTCCTTAACAAAGCCTTATCAAGGTCCTATTGAATCTTATCTGCAGTTCACTAAGTAAATGCTCATTACGCTGAACTAATAGGCACGCTTAAGTATTCAGTAAGGAAATAATAATCATATAAAGGAACAAAGAGAACTGCTGTTTTACTGTCTCTGAATCAAGAACGGCACCAACTCTCACTGTAATAAAGGCACTAAAATCTACTGCAGCAATTAATTTTTGTTTTCATAGATGAGACTGTTTAACAGAGTTATTACCTTTCTTTCTTAAATAATCACAAAAAAAGATAAAAAAATCTCCCTAGATGTAACACCTTTCTACCATTCAACCCTTGGCTTTAAGAGGGAAAGGTTAACAACGGAACAATGACATTGCTTGACAATCTTCACTCTCACAGCTACTATAAATCCTCTTTGGATCAATAGGGTCTCTAATCCAAATACAGAGCACTAGTATCTGCTCTTCCTATTAGCACATGCCCCCTCTCCTGTTGACAAGACAGTATAGTTTTTCTATCACTGATGGGCAGAAAAAGGCTAACATTGCCCTTTTCGATCTAATGACAGCAAAGAGAAATGTACGAGAAACAATAAAATATTCACTAAAAGTAGCCTTGAGACAGAATTTGATCAGCAAACCTGGCACAGAAAGAAAAGGTCCTGGCTAAGAGAACAACTGCTTAATCTAATTTTTACAATAACTCTGATGTTTGGGGGGAGTCCAGAGTGTCGTCTTGTTGTAATTTAGGATACGTGGTAGTTTTTTTCCCCCTTTTACCAAGCCAATTTATTTCCAGGGATATAACACCAAGCAAAAAAAAGAAAAACCTCTGAGCATTTGCCCATTTCAGGCTTCATTTGTAGCACAGATCTTTATCTTGGGAATTCCATTGTATTTTCTTTGAGCTAGGCCTTTTCACACAGTCAAGTTTAATTTAGCTACATTCAAAAATGCAGAACCATAGTAACAATCTTTCATTAAAATAGAAGGTGCATTTAAACCAGAGCTATTCAAAAGAGAATCAAGTGTCTCAAAATTAATTTGCAATCACAAGGACTTGAAAAAAAATCTTAAACTACTGTCTCATTACTCTTCTGTGAGCCAAGTACTAAACCTAGTTTAGTTTCTTAAGGAACTGAGGAACAGATGAACAGAGGTTCAACTAAATGAAATCTTTATCACTACCACAGGAAAGAATAACTTAATTCTCAGAGCTTCTATTAATAAACTCTTCTGAGTGTGTAAGAGTGCTAGTACAATATGTATGTGTGGGAGTAGTGAAGTATTTTAACAGATGTCAGGCCTGAAGCTAAATATAAAAATAAATAAATGAAAGACTGAAGAAAGTTTGGGCTTGCAGTGATGACTCGATGCACTGCAGAGTAGCAAACTACTCTGCAATTTGTATTTCACTAAAGATGGCTTTTTTCATGAAGAATACTTGATAATGGAGATGCAGACCCTACTTTCCTCTGTATTTTCATTAAAATCCCCACCAAATTACACAAAAGATATTTTTACAGATACTGAAAAACACAGCTGTTTTGAACAATAGCTGATGTCATTAAAGTAACCCTTTTTAAGGACAAATTGAATGCCTTTTGCTTAATCATAGGTACTGCTGAAAGCATAGTGATGTTAGTTTGATAGAACTGTAGAAAGGCAGCATGGCAGCATGCTATTAGTAAAACAAAACAGCGCAGGCCAATGCAGCAGTATGTCAGGGTCTCTCTTACCTAAGAAATCCTAACCAAACAAAATCAAAGGTGAAATTCATCCCTGATTTCTGTGGTTACAACTCTGCTACAACCACTGTGCCTGAAGTCTACTGTGAGCATTGATACTTTAGTAGCATGGGGGACACCCTAAACTCTGCAACACTCCAGAACTATTTCCATGTATCCACTCACTCAGTTGATATTTTTAGCACTGCTTCTTTTTCATAGCAACACATTGCTACTGTTTAAAAACATTTGTGTTGTATTTGCCTATTTGTCTTGCCCATCACACATTCATTCTTGAAGTGACTAAAGAACGTGATCTCATGACACCTTTCATACATTAAGATATGTGTATCTTTTAAGCCTAGGTCTATCTTTTCATTGCTAAATATCAAACATTCTCCCTCTATTTCTTCAAAAGCAGGATCTCTGATTCATTCCAGAATTTATGGTTCTTACTCTATGAGTGCCTATGAGGTACTGCTTTGAGATGTAATGAACTGTAGCTTATTGAATTCAGCTTTAACTTCAGGGCTTAATCAAAAGATTACTGAATCAGGAGAAATCAAGTTTTTATTCCAGCAGATCTTCCAGCTGGAGGTTCTAGTTTTGTCACAGAGTATACTGTAAAGCACTGCTTGCCCACTGACAATCTGATACAAATGGTATCAATAACATGAAGAGTGCTCTAAGTTAGTCCCACTGCTGCCATTCTAACTGAATGCAGATGCAAGATGGGATAGCCCCAGAATTCAGTCCCAACGAAGGGTCTCACAACAGCATTTATGAAAGACTCTTGGAAAGTATTATTGACTGTTGTGCTTTTGCAAACAGCCGCTTCACCACATTCCCCTGGAACACAAGGAAATTCAAGTACACGCACCAAAAGTGTTACTGTAAGGTACACCACTGTTAGTATTCTTAGCAGCAAGCAAAGGATCAAACAGGAGGGACAATGAACTACCGTCCACTTGACTTTTTCAGATGGTACGGTGTCAGGTAGCAAGGGCATATTGGAAGCTCCCAGCCTTAAAACCATCTTTACGTTTGTCATTTGTAGGAGTATCTTTATGAAAAGCTACTCTAGTTATTTTGCTAAAGGCTTATGCTTTAAAGCCAGGTTTTACACGTCGTGTAAATATTGCTGCTTTCTGCGTTGGCTCCTGATCCACGCTTCCTGAAAGTACTGAAGTAATTTGATCGTTCCTGCATCAAGTCATAGAAGAACAAGAGACTGATGATAAAGTAAATAGGCAGTAAACACATTCAGCAGTCAGCGGACTGAAATATAGAATACGGCACCTTTTCTGATACCAGCGTAAGTACTACTGAGTCCATTTCGCTTCTTCCTGTGGCGATATAGCCAGATGCTGAAGACCATAAGGATAATCCAACAGGCTGCACCGATTCCAGCAATAAAGGCCGGCTGCTTTACTACATCAGAAATCTGCTGGGCTAAACTGACTTGATCTTCTGAAGACACAGGGTTTCCATGAGAATCTGAAAAGACGACACCCAAAATAGCAAATTAATTTCAATGAGCAACTGTAAAAGGCAGCATGAAAAGAACTGACCTAACCGTAGTCTAGTTTTTCGTTAAGACTGCTCTGCAAAATACTCTTTTTACAGGTCTAGATAGAAATGGTTTTCCATTTCTTGTTTTCCATATAAGACAGGTACCTCCAACTTCACTGGCTTTTGTTTGCTTATGAAACCTGCTAAAATCAGGACACTAGGCACACACATAGAAAGTTAGGCTCATAAATTTTGAACTTGGGGACTGCTTTTTTTTTGTTTGTTTATTTTAGCAAAGGAACACCAGCTTCAGAAAATTATTTAGAAAGCCAGCAAAGAACACAGCAAGCAAAAGAAAGTTCAAGTATGAAACATGCGTAGTCTGTTCTTTGAGCTCTGAGAACGGGTAGAAGTCAGCTACCCAAACATCCACTGTCATAACTGAAAATCACAGAATTACAAATTCAAAGTACATTCACACTGAGGTTGGTATTGAGGGACACATTTTAATTTAGCAGTTCCTGACAGATGACTTCTATCTTGTAATACACAGTCTAACGTACACTTTGCAGTCTCTCACTTTGACCTCAATTAAAAAAGGCTGAATATTTAAAAGGATATACAAAAGCAAAAGACCAATCCTGCCCTCTTGACATGAATGAAAAAGCTAAAGGATAACTAAAAAATGAGTTAGGAATTGGCAAAAATAATCAGTCTCATTATTACTGAACAAGAAGCCCTTTTCAAAAACAGTTTATCCTTAAATATCCCACATCAAAATAAAGAACATGTATTTTTCCACACACTTTTTATTTTTTTTAATAGAGAAAGCACCTGCAAGAATCGGTCTTTTCTGCTCTTTCCGTACTGAACTTTTGCAGGAACCTTCTAGGAACAGCAGGAAGAATACTCAGTTAGTGACCAACGCTTTCTAAATGAAATGAAGCGCCTCAAAGACAAAATACTGCCTTCCTGATTTTTTACCACTACAGTGAGTGCTTCCTGGAAATTTCATTACTGCACAGGGTGAGGGCAAGAATTTGAAACCTTTACTCAGAGCGGATATTGCTTTACACATTCCACAGCTCAGTCTTTGAAATACCCATTTTTATTCTTGTGTAAATCCCACAGTTGCTTTTTACTATGAGTAGTGACATCAGATTCAAAATAAGAGATTAGTGTTTTAAGTAGAAAGGTGCTGTTATTAATTCTATTGATATAAACTATAGAAGAAATGAAAACCATATAAACTTAAAAAACAACACCTTATCCTTATGAACTAAGCAGTGAATAGATTTTTATTTTTTTCACGATGACATGCCTTGCATTACTCCAAAATAAGCCTAAATAAAATATAAGAAACTGCAATACAAACAGCAGATGGAATCACAACAAATCATACAAATAACAAACCTCCTCTGGAAAAGGACCGTTTTTTGAATGGCAAATGGTTAAATTAATAACAGCTTCTTCCAGTGAAGAATTCCAGATTTCAGTTTTTGCGACATCGAGGTCAAATACCTATTTTGCCGAGGAATCACCACTGCCTTTGACTGCTACCTTATTGGAAATTTTATTTCATATTTCAGGTCCCTTTATCTTCTGTGATCCTAAGTGCACTGCCTAGTCTGAACGTTCAGCAGCAAGACTCATTCTTTTCTTACTAATACACCCTTTGTGTCTGCTGGGTTTATAGATTTCACGCCTATTTGTGCAAGGTTAAGATGGGTTGCTTCAGATTTTATGGAGACAGCCAAGTGAAGTTCCATACAAGTGGCCAGATGGGCTTATACGTATAAAGTATACTGTGACCAATGAATTAAATCTGTCACTCTTTATCTCATCTTCTGTCTCTTTGCAGCTGAGGCCATATTAAGATATGAAAACTTGCATCATCAGTCTCTTTTCAAAATGAGTAAGCCTACTATTTCTATATTTTTAAACAGCTACACTACCTTGTACATCTTAATGGAATAGAACAAAGGATTTCCGAAGAACCTGTGGTTCTGAATAAATTCAGAAGACTGATAAATATTTTTTCTCTGATCCTTTAAATATATGTATTTAAAACAATAAATCCATGGGAAAAAAAATAATCTCCAACTCAAAAGCCAAATAAGAATCCTTTTTAAACATGTCAACAATTCAGCCATACAGAAAGACAGTACTTTTACATATACATTCTGCATTGCTCAGTCAATGCATGCCTGAAGATTACAAAATACTGAAAAATCTCTTTGAACATTTATTGTTCTATTTTTTAATTAAGATTCATTTCATGGTATTATTTTGCTAGCCATTGCAAGCATAAGAACAGCATAATAATATATTTGCTTTTAAGAAACGAGGCTTATGGCACATTGTACATGGGTGGACTGTTAGAGCCATTACATTAAATTAGCTCATATATATTTACACACACGGTGAAGAGAAAAATGTGTATGTGTTCATGTACAGTCATATAAACAGCATCATAGAAAAGAAGATGGAAAAGCTTGCAAGAGGCTACATTTGACCTATGTCCTGCTCCTCTCATAATTCAAAACCAGAAACTAAGCTAAATATAAAGCAAAGGGAATTAAATCTAGTGAACCCCTCATTACTAAAAATTTCCAGGAACATTATCTTGGAAGCCTTTCTTTGAGAAGGGCATCTTCCCTCTCCATAATAGTCCTGTGAGACCCTGAATGATCAGTCGGGAAAAAAGCTCTTGATCTAAAAAAAGTACTTTTTCTCCATCCCAGGAAATTTCTGGAAGCTTTGACTGAGATAGAAACGGTTCATAATCAACATTCCTGTTCCTGCTTGCACTCCTCGGGGAGACGTGCCAAAATAATAAGTGAACATAAACATTCTAAGGCAAAGCGCATCTTACTGCCAGAGCAGCAGCCGCAGCATTTAATGTACTTGAAAATGCCTCAGAGTTGTTGGCGCAGGCTGATCCCACAATTCCCTGAAACCAGCATATTATCACAGTGACTCATCCGTCCTTCTTCCACCCCAAGATAAGAGCCTTCTTTATAATCACAGATAATGTTGCTATGGCTATTGTTCACAAGCTACGCGATTTGACTGTCTTGAAGCTCCAGGTTTCAAACTTCAATGAAAACTAATTGGAATTTACATTGAGAAGAACTGGGACCTCTAATTCTCTAATGTTAAATATGCATATAAATAATAATAATAATGTAAAAACTAACATTTAAGTTGTTAAACGTCAAATAAAAGATTAATATACAATTAAGATTGGAATGCCAAAGATTCGAAAAAGACAGGAAATTCCAGGTTCACAGGTGTGCAGGCAAACTTAACTTTGCCTGGTACGTGTTCAACCTATGGAATGGTACTTTTGCAAGTGCCTGTCTCATTTAGTATACAAAATTTACAAATGTTAAGTAGGAAGATCTAAGTTTTGTTGTCATTTCTAATTCTGGTGATTCAAAACTTGCAAAGCACCTGGAATCTGTAACATAATGCCTGAGCGTTTCCTCAAATATATGTGCACGATGGAATATGAAAATTAGTTGGTAAAATATTACCAGGTTAAGAATATGCTCTTTTGTCTCCTTTCTAGTTATATACATTTCCAAAACTGGAAAAATATCAGTTTTGCTCTTCGATCTTATAACATACAGTTTGAGGAGACAACACCGAACTGGTTTGGAAGGGTTTGCTGTGTGGGAAAAAAAAAGAGATTACTTTCTTCGAGTCATCTGCAGGCCACAAGAACAAAATATCAACAAAAAAACCTTACAACTATTTCACTAGAAGTACTTGAAGGGCTGACAGAATCATACCCCTGAAGGCATGCTAGCTAGTTCACAAATCGCATCTCCTAAATGAAGCAATTAGAATAATAAAGATTCAATGCGACTTTGTGTTTTGTACACTTGAGACATGACTGGTTGAATGAATAATGCACTCAACATTTATAACAATTGTGCAGACATCTCTGAATAAATAAGTGCATACCATATATTCGCACACATTATGTGTTTAAGAGTAACATTAACTGCAGTTGTGGGGCTTCTCAGAGCTGGTACCCTGAATAAAATATGTTGCATTATGTTCTAATTTCACTTCTTACTGGCCAACAAGCATAGGTAATACTGCCAAGCTATCATAGGTAGTATCCCAGCACTGTACAAAAGTTAGGCTAGAGATCAGCAAAAAAAAAAAATTGTTGTGATAGTTCTCACCTTTCTGTACAGATCATTTTTGTAACCAATGTCCTGAAGTTACATGTGATAAGAAAGAACGTTCTATCAAAATTCTATGATTTTTTTTTCTCCACAGCACAGTATAAACACAATATAGTGAGCTGTGTCTAGCTCTCATGAAATACGATTTTTTTTTTCCTTAACACCCAAGCTCTTGCAGTCTTTCTTTACATAAAATATCAACTTTTCTTTTAAAACAAACAAACAAACGGTTTTCCAGCCCTTGGAATTCCACAGAAAGCTTTAAAAAGTCATTCCAAAGCCAAGAGGAAAATTCAGAAGCCCCAAGGGGAGTGTTTTAAGAAGACACATGATTTTTCAGTCAATCTCATGATTTTAAACACTGAAAGGTGATCTTTGAATAACAAGCAAGTATATTGTTGGCTTGTCCCTGGCGGCACGGGAAGTCTGGGGTACTGCAGCTCAGTGAGCTGCTTCATGTCAGCCGAGACATGGAAAATGAGAGAGCTTTGAGCTTACAATTTATACTTGTCTTTGTAACAGGTTAAGTGCGTGCACAAGGTCAGTTATCACAGCTCAGCTGATGCATGGGACTGCGACTGCACGCCTCAGCTCTCAGAGAATCCAGTGTCTCCTGTCCTCCCCTCTTGTTCTGGAAGGTGGCCTCCGACAGGTGAAGCTTCCTCCTGTCACACACCCAGCTGAAACCCTGCCCAGGCATTTCTCACAGCCACAAACCTGGGAGCACCCTGCACAGCACGCAGACCCAAATATCAGGTCGCTGTGCAAGACAGTAGGCTACGCTGGGGGAAAAAAACCCTCCTCTTTGGATGCTCCAGAGCCAGCCACAACCTAGTCGCACAGTTTTGTAATAAAAACACATTATAAGGAGACACATGTTTGATTTTAATGAAAAGTTCTTAAAAAAAAAAAAAAAAAAAAAAAAAGTGAGTGAATATCTAAATCATATAGTATATTCCGTTTCCACAGATGGAATTCTTAATTAGTTAAAGAAAAAAAAGTAGTAGTAAGGATTGTACTAATTCAGGTATCAGGAAATGATTTCCTGAAGGAATAGTTGGGATCAGTGACAAAAACATAGAAACTTTAAGTTGTCAGTGGCAAACACGCAGTTCCTAGAGCACGTAGGTACAGGGAGTCAGGACTCTTTGAAAAACATCCTAAAAGTAGCATCCTTAGTCCTCTTTCCTGCCCCTCCCTGGCCTCCCTTCCCTCTCTCTGTAACCATGTAATTTATTGCTGGTGAAAAGTGCCAATTGATGACATCAACAAATTAATTTTCTTTCTTCAGAAGAGCTACCAGAAAACTCCAGTGCCTGCTCCACCCCCATGCTGGGAGCACATCCAAGAACTAAGAATGTGATTCCTTGCGGGGGCTGTAGGAGAACTTGCATCACAGGGTAGAGTCAGGTATACTGCAGCCTTTCTTCTGCCTTGATGATTTTAGGTTGATGGGTGCTACTAAAGGATATTCCTCTTAAATTTAAGTACTCATTTTCAGCAGCCTTCTGCAGTTGCTGAAAGGACTGCAGCACTGTCTAGGTATTTCTTGGTGCTGCTTCTAGTGGTATGGATCTCCGTAAGACTCCTGTCTCCAGGTCTTTGCCATGTAATAACCAAATGATGGGATTTTTACTATAGTATATGTAGATTTGGCCATGCCACAATTAGAAACAAGCAGTACAGACTATGAAAGCAAACCCCAACCACAAGGAAATATATGGATTCTACCAGACTTCCACTTTTGAACATCCTCTGAGGTGTGTGATTGCTCCATGCTTTCTAACATAGTGTCAGTAAAGGCCAGGAACCCAGAAGCAGGCAAAAATCTTACCCTGACAGAGCCTCATTTGTTTCTTTTTCCACTTACCAAAACCCCAAAGTGATTAAGTTCCATTATAAAATTCACCTTCATTTAGCATTTGCTTATCATCATAGAAAAGGAAAAAAAAAAAAGTGGTTATGAAGTCTTTGGCTTTGAACATCGAGGTTACCCCATTATTTTACGCTCATAAGCCTCACTAATTTAAAATTTTCAAAATCTAAGCCATATAGAGCAAACTTGACCTTGACAGGAAAGCTGGCTGTAGGAAAGAACAATCCAACAAATAACTATGGGGTTTTGCACATATTAGTGGAATATCATACAAGCTGTGTGCAATTTTATTGTAAAATCTCTATTAATGTAATTGGGAATCATATGCCTCTGTAAGTTAAATAAGTTAAAGATGACCTTCATTTTAATAGCCAAGGAAATGTACATGTAATTTCCCAGATAATATATTATTCGTTTGGTCTTCTTTTCACATGTAGTAATTATAGATTTTTAAATATAAAAAGTGAAATAACAAGGAAGATCTACTTATGATACAGAGATAGACAGGGCATAAAGTCCGAAGCGACATGCTGAGTTTGCTTTCACAGTTATATACTGGAAAGATAAGGTATTTTGATACAGGCATACTAGTAAAGCAGCACATGACTATACCTAAAACTACTTTAAAAAAATCTTCAGTTAACCAACAGCAAAGATGTATTTCTCCCAGATACATCCAGGAGCAATGCCCCAGATCTGCATTTATGACAGAAAAATGTTCGGTGTAAATGAAGTTAGGAGGTCAAGAATATTGTAAGTCATCTGTGTACCTCCTTCTCCTGTACTCAGGTTATTTACTAGCTTACACACATAGTTGATATTTATTGTGCCTAATTTCAGCATGCTCTTGGTTTCTGGCTTCAATAAAGAAAGATGAAATCTGATCAAGACAAATTACATCCCTAAACTAAAGTGAGCCAACACTTAGTGATTCATACTCCCCTAGATGCTTTATTACACCAGTCTTAAGTGTGAAAATTCAGTTTGAAAAATCAATAACCAAAAAGCACTGCTGAATTGGGACTTTAAAAAAAAAACTGCGCTGTTATAATCCCATCTTTAGAATGCAGTTCTAAGGCAAGTTTAAAACCAGAAATGCCAAATCCTGCTATTCCAGAGATCAAGTAACACTATATATTTCACTTGTCTTGAAAGAATTTCTGGTGCCATAAAAGACAAAAGTAAACAAACAAAAATCATTGACACCAATAGGTAGGATTACTAGCAGGCTTACCTAATTGGATAAACTGGGGATCACTTTTCACTCCAGGTCCTGCCCCAGTACTTGCTGCCACTTCCACGCTATATCGAATACCAGGAACTAGGGAGGGGATGACTACAGAAAAGGTGGAACCATCTACCGTCTTGTTTATATGGTATCGACTTTCATTGCCAAGACACCAAACCTGCAGGGAAGTAAGCATATGGTACGTATAAATGTTCAAAATTCAACACCAAAGGATAAGCAGAAGGAAGGATGACAGATTCCTTTCTGCTGGATAAAGAAATTTAGAATTTGTCACTACTCTAACATCTGCAGTCATGGATTGCTGTCCTAGGCACTGTACAAATACTGAAAAGATACTTCTTGTTCCAAAGAGCAGCTCCAACTACTATAAGTATTTGATGAGTTTATGGTAATTAATTTACAGTTCAACCAGTGACATCAGTGCTAATAAAACTAAAAGCATCAGTAACACGGAACAAATAAGGGAAGCCCTGTAGCCAAGAATCGTTCACATAAACAATAAAGCAAGAGCATCCAGTTAAATGAATTTGCAATTCTCTTGTTCAGGAATCATTCGTCAAGCAAGGCTTTCTTCACTCAAGTGCAAGGGCAAGTCTTTCATCACATGACGTCACAAGAGAACCAATGTCACGCTGGAATCCAAACATTATCTTTTTTTTAAAAAATGGCAGCAAGTGGCAAGGAAGATGCCATCTTCTATTGAGAGACAACAGCATGATATCAGATCTCGTTTTTTGGTTGAGATCAGGACACAGCTCTAACAACTTCAATTAACCACTTCATAAATTACATCAGTGATATTAATTGATTGGGAGAAACACTATGATGAGATATTTTTATCTCTTTAGGCCTGCACCACTGATGTGGCAAAAGCTTTTAAGAGTATGGTTGAACTCCCAACTGCTATTAAAGGTGAAGTAGCAGCTAATCCAGATCTGCTAAAAAAACTGATGCTGTGTTGATTTCCTTTTTATGCCCTTCCCATAAATGTATTGCTCTACAATGAATATTTATCCAGAAAGTTAAATTCAGTACTTTATCTCTGTGAAGAAGCAAACTTCCCCGAGAACAGCAGCATTTCTGAACCTGTGCTGGTTGTACACAGGAGGGAAGATTTTGCTTTTGACATACGGAGCTTCTGAAAGATTTAGTACCCATATAGCTGCTCTTAATCCCTCATGCAATTCTGCCACTGTGGAGATTGCCAGGTCAGTAAGCTAGAGTTTCATGTGTAGAACAATTGCTAGGGCCCTTTCTGTAGGGCTCTTTCTGCCTGGACTCTGGAAATTTCATTTCACCTCCAGGACATTGCAAGACCCTTTTTCCTTCTCTGGATGTCAGGGATTGAAACAAGGCTAGTGGGACACTACTAGAGGATCTGAAATGTATTTTAAGCTACTTTGAAATAGAATCCCAACACAGCATATACATAACTGCTGCTGCAGAGCAGGTCAGAGCACACAAAGAGAAGAGAATCTTCTTTTTATATTCTGATACTAAGTAGAGACTGTTTCAGTCAGTAGCAGTAGTATAATTATTAGTAATATTAGTAATATTGCTCTTAAATCCTAAGGGATGGTCCATGAAAATGCTCTTATGTAAATAAGGACTCGATAAAGTGAGGAACAAAAGATTTAAATCCACATTTTGACTTATGTAATTTTCACAGAAATTGTTACTGCCACCTTGTACAATGGTGTATGTGCAAACAACAAAAATTTATTATGTACTTGTAACTATGCACTACTAAATCATAAAAATGTTTTATTCTTAGGCACTCAAATACATGAAGGAATTCACAAAACAAGAATGTTAAGTTAAACATCAGGTTGTTCAGTGCTTGCCATACTATATTTGATTGCAAACCTAAATAGGCAAGTGAAAACAAACTTTTAGAATGTTATGAAGGAAGGAGGAATTAACGTTATAATAAACACATAAATGAAGAAAGAATTAGTACAGCAAGAGAATTTCTAACTTCATGCTAGGGAAGGAGGGAATGACTTCTGCTGTGATTTGAATTTCTGCCTTTTTGTGTGTGCTGCTGACACTTCTTCAGTTAAGATGGTATCCTCCTTCCTATTTATTTTAGCCTTTAATTAAAGCAGGTACACTCTTGCTTTAGATCCGAGTTGGTGGGAAAACAAAGGATTCCCCCACATACGCGTACCTTTTTTTCTGGGAGAATACATAGGAGATAGAAAAACAAAAAGGAAAAAAAAAAAGAGAAAAATTTGCAAGACTTCTATTTGGTTTTTTCTTGTTATTAGTTGTTAATCTTAAATCACTAGTTCTGCATTTATTTAGTTTTTAGACAAAAATATTAATTTCATGTAGCAACTTAAATAGCAATTACATATATATTCATTGTGCCTGTTTTCTGTCCATGGTGAAAAGCACAAAGGAAAACAACGGCATCCACACAATAAATGTAGATGTGAAACGTGTCAGTGTGCCATCTACTGCTACACAAGCACTACAAGACGCTTGCTCCTACATCTGACAGCCTATTACCTCTGAATTCTAGGAAGTATGTTAGGTATTATATCCACTCGGAAATGTGAATTTCCTGACTTTTATTGTTTTGTCCTTACAACCTTAACATTCCTCTGATGCAGTTTCTTGATAGAAATAATTCCATCTCTTTGGCTCAAGGTCTGTCTTTAAATAAAATAACTTTGCAAGTATTTTTTTTTCCAATTACATTATGTATCTGAAACTAAGCCATAAACTGAGTTTTTACTCATTGACCAGGTTCTGAAAGGCGTTTTATTATTCTAAATTGACCATGAAGCTTAGCGATCTCTTCCCTTTCCCCTTTCTACTGAGGAAAAAAAAAATAGCAGAATGAGTTTTGAAGGCTAGGAATATATGTCTATAGCACAGTGTTTTAACCTTAAAAATAGCCAAGACATTCTCATTTGAAAAATTTTCTCAATAATGCCCATTTGCAGGAGACTGAATCCCAAGATCCTGCCTCTCCATGGCTATAAAGTTTACTTGATATCCACAACTAGACATTTAGAATATCTGTATCTTGCTTAGGGAAAATAAACTTCATTTACTTTGCTATGTAAATTATTGCAAACTAATTTGAACTGAAAATAAATACAGTTTATGTTGCTAGAAGAACATAAAATAATAAATATTTTTAATGTAATTTGTTAAAACTTGTTAAAATTTGTTAAAATCAAATAGCGTAATGAGCAAATAAAATTTGTTAAAAATTAAACAGCAGAACGACAACTGTGTGTGAAAGAAGAAAAATTTCTGTACACTAAATACATTTATTACACAAGCACATTCTTTACTTGAAAGTTTTCCATTTGTTTTAACTACCCAGTTACGCACAATTTACTCAGATCTTGACACTGTTAATTATTATCCCTCAGCTTTTCAACTCATTAAGCCTGTTTATATTTACTACCTTGGCCAATGTCTTTGAGTCACAAAATGGTTCTCAAACAGGTATGGTTCCCTCTCTACTTGTGTGTGCATTTCTCTAGTTACAACGAAGGCAAGAAGGCAGTTGTTTTAATTAAGAGTGTTGACCCTTTGCTTTGATTTATGGAGGCTGTTTTAATTGCCTTCTACCATCTAGGCAGAAATTACTAAATAGGGAGTTTGAGTCAAAGAAGTGATTTTCCATCTCATTTGCTCTGACCGACCAGTAGATGGAGCCAAGCATCCACGAAAAACCTCATCTGTCACTACCTGGCCAATACCCCCTCTCCCAGGGGATCAAGGCACACCAGCAGTACCTTATATTCTTGAACCATCCCGTTCTGGTTGTCCTCGGGGGGTGGCTGCCAGGTGACCACAATTGCCGTCCCGTTCCCATCGTTCTTCGTCACTGAAACACTCTGCGGTGGAGCACTAGGAGCTGTTCGTTCGGAAAGAAGGATTGAACGGTTATGTTCATCACATGCAGAAGTGAGCTTTTTTAAGAGGAAGATGGTTTATGGGCTATACAAATGCATTCCTTTATGCCCCACCCTTCATTGAGGGTAGTTCTTGCCCACAAAATAAAAAGATACAGAAGAAAAGTGATGTGAACCTGCAACCAGGCTCTTGAGTTCTGCTGCAGTCTTGCTGTGCAGGACAGGAAAAGTCACACTTGTCACCAGACTCTCCAAACTCAGATACCCACTACCTGAATGTCACAGTCCGGAGCACCGAATTCCCCATTGGTCTCAAATCATCTCACCCAGGATCAAAAGTTTTGAAAAATGGAGTCTATAAATTGACCCCAATAGAATGCTAAATCTCAGTTGCTCTAGTGTGTAAATAATAATGAGTAATAGAAAACTTACCAAAATCAGGACAGAACGTGTAATATTAACACGTTTATGCTAATAATTTGTTTTGCATTTTAAATAGTCTTTCTAAAAACTGGATGCTTAGCTGATGCTTAGGACGAATGCAGTTAAGCACACCTCTTGAACCACTCGCAGCAATAAACCAGAGCTACATGGCATTTATACTGGGGAGGGAAGAGAGAAGGGGAAAGGTTGCACTACCCAACAGAAGCACCAAAATCCCTATTCAGAGGCGCTGGCCACCTTGCATACTCATTATGCCTGAGCAGCAAGAAAAGGAAGATCTTCATGAACCTTCTCTTTTTAGCACACATATGAGAAGGAAATACATAATATAGTCCGCTATATCTGTTGCCCTCATTCATCTTTTCATTTTGTCTTACTGATTGATCCAGATAGAAAAGCCTTCTAAAAACGTGGTTTCCATTCCCTCAGCTATAGCGCTTTGATGATTTCTGTGGTGCCTGCTATCTACTCAAGATACTGATTAGCAAGTGCTTGAATCTGACAGAAGTCACTTGTGACCAGACCATGAACTCAGCAGGGAGGAGCGCACACTGCAGTGAAGATAAAAAGCACATTTCCCATTGTGTGTTGGGAGGGGATTTTTGTACCTCCCTCTCTCTCTCTGTCTCTTGCACGTGGTTCTGAATATTTACTTCTGTGTCACCAAACAATTCACATAATGATCAGTCCAACACAGCCTCCTCTGCTGCAGATTGCTGTTCTCAAACAGCACACACTTCAAACAAAATCAAATAATGAACATATCAGAGCAAAGCAGGCCGGACTACTACTTCAAAAAAGGAAAGATGAAGACAGTCTGGTTCCTACTTGCCTTCTTCCAGGGTCTTTGCAAATTTCACTTCACTATCTGCTCCCTGAAACTCATTAAAAAAAGGGCGGGCCTTGATTTCATAGTTTACACCTTTCTTCAGCTCAGGAATGATAACGCTGTTCTTGGTTGGAGTCTTCACTTCAAAGATTAACCACTCTGATTCTCCATAGGACGCGGGTGTAGGCCGGTACAGAATTTTATATCCTTGAATATACTGAGATTGCTGGTCCACCTGGCAAGACAGCAGAACACACAACACATCCTTTAACAAATACGAACCAGGAATGATGTCTGTGACACGACACACGATCCTTGGACTATCTGTTCAGTTTCTTGAAAGTAAACAACACTGCCAAAACAGATAAAGGCTCCTTGCATTACAGCAAATTACAGGCCTGATTATTCACAAGGGCATTAATCTGTTTGACGCTGGTAGAACTGTGCTGGTTTCCATGGATTTATGAAGGCATTAAAGGGGGATAACAGCATTGTATAAAACGCCCCAGATCTGTGAAATGAACAGCCTTTGCACCCATGGAGCGATGAAGCTCAGCACAGGGCAGACTTCTGCCCACCCGAATCTGCCTGGCAGGGCAGGGGGCACATGGGGAAAGGGGGGAGGGTGAGGGCAGGGGACCTACAGCTCCACAACTCAGGGTGATGAATATGGAGATCAAAGAGTGAGCCTGCCAACTCTCCTGAGGTGCGGAAGCCTCCCCAAATCCACGAAATGAGCACTGCTTCCTGCCTGCATCCTTCTGGAGAAAGTGAATTGAAAGGGCAGCCAGCTGGCACTATCTCCATCGCTGTGATTAGGCTGGGCTCTGTCAGAGGGCAGGTTTGTCCAAGCACTTCCTCCACGTTCACCCACCCAGCAGGAGGCTGCTCTGCTGGAGGGAAAGGGCTGTTTTGAGAGGGCTCTGAAGAGGCTCATAAAACTCAGTACGGTAACACAGATGAGACTTGGAAAAGCAGATCAAAATCCTACTCAGTGGTCATGAGTGCTTTTTAGACCGAGGTCATTTTGTATCACATGCATGGAGAAAGAGATCTTAATGCAAACGAGGGTGGGACTCAATGTGTTTGGCTATAGCTGAAACAGAAAGATACCACAGAATGATATCTTGGAGCATTCACTGTCTTTTAACTACCAGTTTCAATTTCTGATCAATAAGAAAGTCCAATAATAACAACAACAAATTTTTTTAAAAGTGCATCAGATTTTCCCTATTTTCAAAAATCTCATACAGTGATATAATAAAACAGTTTGCTTCCAATTTTACTCCAAAAAGCAAAGTGTTTCTTTTTTAATAACCACATAAAGAATGTGTGTGTTAGCTGAAACTGAGGTAATGCTTATTTTTGAAATTGCAGAGAAGCCACAGGCCACCCAAGAGACTGACAAAAACTGCCTGTCTGGAAAAGGTTGTTCTGTAAGTAAAGGTCAAGCAAAATCATGCTAGGAACCTCAAAGATGTTTTAATGTTATTAGTCAAAACAGGAGATTGCCTGCTGCAGGTGGCCGTACTGCAGGTGACAGTGTAATTACCGTGCAACACAGCAGATATTACTTGTACTCTTGCAGCACCGAGGAGCCCTGGTCATGGACCAGGACTCCACTGGGCTAGGGCTCTTCTACAAAGTCAAAACCACCTTTGTTCCTGTTCAAAATGTTGTGCCGTGGCGTGGCAGGGCCTACACCCTGTGCTCTCCTACACTGCCCCTGCCAATATATTGACATGTTCAGATGGAAGTCTTAAAAAGACCTCAAAGCTCACTTCCTTTGGATTTATTCCTGCACCTGGTATAATTATCCCTCATTTTTTCTTCATTCTGTTTCTATTTTAAAACTGCTCTTCTTTGAATTACCTTTTGTTATCTCATTGCTTGGTACTCACAGGTTCCCATGTTGTTCTTTCTCTTCATTTCTACCTCTTGATTGCCAAATGTCTCCCACAGTAAGCCACTTCTAATCCTTTCTCTCACTGAGGCCTCAGCCTTGTAAGCCTACTTGAATCTTTTTCACGTATGTTCCCATTCCCCTTGCTTCAGGACTCCTACAGTACTGTTTCTTCACTCTCTCATTTCCTCTGCTATATCCTCCATGCAGCCAACTTCCTGCTTCCTCCCGCCAGAGCGACAACACAACATCTGAAAACCGTCTGCCCCTTTTGCCTCTTCTCCCTGTACTGGGTGTACTCATAGCACTGTGGGAAAGGGCAGGTTCAGAGGAGGCTGTATGGGTTTGGGTGTGTTTCTCAGTATCTATGTATGTAGGATGGAAGTAACACTTTCAAACAGAATTATGCAGTATTTCTCTCCACTGGTGACTGACAGACAGGGAAGTGCCCACGTTATCTCATTAGGGGACTGACACACTTCCTACTGAAAGCAGTGCAAAAGCTTCAAATGACATGACTTAAGAAGGCTTTGATCAGTCCTTTAGCTTCCAGAGGAGGACTCTCAAACTCTCACCATAGTGTAAACACCACTCTCTATGGAGACATAAAATAGTGAAAAAGGGACAAAATTTAATGAAGTAGGAAAGAAAAGCCCGAGTAGCACTCATTCCAGAGCAAAACATTTGCAAGCATACAAACTGCACAGCTTCTTAAAGTGTGATTCCACTGCAAACAGTACAATTCAGCAGTATGTATAACCACTTCCATGATACAGATTTATACTTACAGTCCAATGAACTTCAATTGAGGAGGAAGAAAGGATAGTAGGGTTGTGCAGATGTAGTACTACATCACCTAGTTCTCTCTGGACCTGCTTGTGATCCACACCTTGACTTGTTGGTGGAACATCTGTAATAATTTAAAATTCCATTCTCACAAGTATATATGATTGTTAAAATAAGTATATGTAAATAGAAATTAATATATCATAAAGCACGTGATGCTATCACGAATGAAGTTTACCCTAAGTACTTCCCAATTAGGTAAGAAAAAACTACATGAAGTATTTTCCACAGCGAATCACTAATGCTTAGGTAGCACCAAATCAATGCACTGCACTTTCTTCAACAGAGAGAAACAGGAGTGAAATGCTGCATAAAAAGAAAAACCACACTCAGTGATGTCTTTGGTAAATTACTACAGCAGCATCTCTTCATTCTTTCCTGCTGGGAGGAGAAAATGTTCTATTAGTCATTGCAAATTCCAAGAGACCGGTAAACCTATAAAGAACAGCAAAAGCAGAAGCTGTATCTTCAGATAAATTAATGGGCGACCTTACTCTTTTTAATTACAAAATAAATGTAACAACTGAAGAAAAGTAAAATGAGTCATGGCTGCAGCTTCTCTGATGGCAAGTGACTTCTGTGAACAGGAGGCAGAGCATGGCTGAGTGCTGTCCGGCTCTTCTGACATTTGGTCTATTTTATAGCCAAAAGAATTGCTCATACGCATGAAGGGACAAATTCCTCTCAAAATACACAATGGTACAATGGAAACACATTTTCTGCATGCAGAACCCTTGAAAAGCATATTTTACTGAAATGGAATTACTGTCAGACATGTATAAAATTTATAGGGCAATCATTAATAGGGTGTCTAAAATATACATGTACTATGGACAGCAGAGTAACACAGTTTCTGTATTGATTTCATATATCTCTCTTTGATCACTTCACTTTAAACAAATACCACGCTGACTATGGCTAAAAATCAGAGACTGGTAAATTAATTAAAAGTATTTAGAGTTCGCTCTTTCTTTTTTTTTTTTTTTTTTAATTTTTATTAATCTAATTCCAGATACGGACTAATGCATTACATAAACTTTGCTCCAGCCTACTACTTCCCTGCCTGACCTCCACTAGCAACAAAGCAAGATCAGGAAATCTTCAAGGGTTCTGTTCTCTGAAGACCTTGGAAATTTCCATACCTGTCTGCTTACAAGAAGTGTCAAAGAGAGAGTACACAGAAATTGCATATAAATGTATGCACAACTACAACTACTGTAATAAGCTGTAACTACAACTACCTAACTACTGTAGATGTGTAGACTATCTTGAAAGCTGAGGTTTGGATAGCGCAGCTGATGCTGATATACAAGACACTTATTAAATGCAAGTGCAACAGTTGTAAAGCATGCTTTTTGCATGGTGGTCATATTCTCAGTTTACCAGCTTTTGGTCTTGTCTAAATAATAATAGAACCATTGTAAGCCTGCATTAGGACAAGGCATGAGGACAAGTTTCTTTCCAGAAATATAATTCCCATTTGGGAATACAAAGCCTATGCGACTTTGAACTTTTGTCATACAGTTTCCTCAACATATTTACATGAAGATGGGATTTCTTCAAAGTTAAAGAAGCAAACTGAGGTTAGCGTGCAGTCAGTGGGTGACAAGCCTGGATTCTTAGCAAGGAACACTGATAACAACAAAACAAAAAAACCCTCCATTTAGTCACCGCTGTATCCACGTGTAGTATGTTCCACCAAACAGTCCATTTATCAGAGTATTTCCTTCTCTGCAAAGTTTGAAAGCATTTAAGGTAGAAGCTTCTGTTTGGAGAGTTGCCTAAATATCACCCTGCTTAGAGTGCAACAGGAAAGTCAGTGGAATAATTAGTTCTATCTTTGCTAGTCATAAAAGATGAGTCACCAACAACATGAATCAAACTATTAATAGGCTCAGCCATTTGCACATCTGTGCAATACGTGTGTTTCTTTTTTCGGTTCCAAGCTTCTAAGACAGGGACTGTCAGTGAGAACACCTAAGCACGTTGTTGTTAATGTTGGTAGAGCGTACAGACGAACATAGGTTACGTTCCTGGTCTGGACATGCATTTAGGACAAGACTATACCACCCTCTAGACAAAAGTGAACTGGGAAATTTTTGAACTTGCTTAGCTAGACCACAACTTCGACAAAACTGAAATGGTATTGGAAGAAGAATGGAAGTGCTTTAAAGAATTTGAGAGTCAATTACATTTCTTACTCTTGATGAAAATTTTATCTATTGGTTGTTATGTTCACCGAGACACTGTGTGTTTCTCAGGTCTTCAGCTCTACTAGATTCCCAGAAGACAGCGAAGTTTTTCCATGCCATTATAAACCATTCCATTCTGTTGAGTGAACAGAACACTGCCTCATTTGCTGTTTATCAGAGTCAGGTCAGTGATCAGTTCATTTGGGACATTCAGACCTGATACCTCATCTCATCTCCAGGAATGAAACTACACTGCATGAAAAATGGACTCATGCAGAAAACTGCAGCCTGCCCACATAATAACACGTGTTGCCCTATTCCCAGGAATACAGAAATCATTAAAATGTTACTAAATCTCTCCTTGGTAACAGACTTAGGAACCCATGCAATCCCTATTTTCCGTGTGGCCGAGACTCTGCTGTCCATATATAGCCATTGAAATTGTCACCCATCAGGAGAAATGCATAATAACAAAGGACAGCAATGTGAAATTGTTTGAACTCCTTTGGGGGAGAGGAGAAAGACTTGCTTTCAGACCAACTGCAGAAAGAATGAAAAGTCACCAAAGGAAAATGCTTTGTTTCCCTTTCAAAAACCAACACATAGTTACTTATGCAAACAAAGAAACAAACATAGAACACAGGCACTCTTAATAAGCCAATTGGTCAATTTCTCCAGTAGGTAGGAAAAGCAGAAAAAAAAATAAAAAAGAAGGATGATCTCGATCACTTTTACTTTGAAGAAGAGTATGTCCAGTTTTCCCCTTCTTAAGAATCTACATATTTCTACTGGAAAAAAGCAGGCTGCAAAATTGCAATGCATTATTCCCTGTACACCATCATAAGTATAATTTATTTTCTACAGTGACTACGAAGTTATTTTAAATTTTATAGAGCTGGATTCAGTCTGTAGCTGTCCTTCAGTCATAGCTGGAGTCAGCAAATGACTCCACCTACCACTACCCAGCCTTTTCTTCCACTTGGCGATCTGTAAGCATTCTCTCTTTTCCCTACTGTTTTACTTTCAATAGTTGTACTACGGAAATACTTTCAATACATTGCCAAAACCTCTTTACTGGCTCATGATGCCCAATTCCTTCAAATTTTAAACTTCTCTCCTTCCTAATACAGCAGAAACAACTTAGATTATGTGCTTTTTCTCTCTCCGTCTCAGTCTTAAGCCTCATTTGATTCACTGGACACAATAATAACATTTCCAGGGAATTTGAGGATTTGCATGATAACTTGAAAATATCAGAGATTGCTTTTGTTGCTAATGAGCTATTCTGCAAGATGTAACTCTTTTTGGATAAGAGATGCTAGGGTTCCCTTAGGCAATGCAATATGCTGTCTAAGCAGTTTTCAGAGTCTCTGTTACAGAGAAATGCAAGTTTAAACACTGTATTTTACTATCTAGTATATATTATAGGCAGGACAGGCAGACAGTCAAAAGCTACCAGAATTCCTGCATCTGGTATTGTTCAGTCAATTTATGACAGCCACTGTGGGCACCTAAACTGTTCAGTATCAAAAGCTTACCTTGAGTTTTCACTGGATCAGATATTTGGCTTGGGTCACTTAGTCCATATGCATTAGCTGCCCTCACAAGGAATAGATAAATTGCATTAGGTTTTAGCCCTTTAACTGCAAAACTCTCTGTTCTCACATTTTCAGCTACAGTTTGCCAGCTGCTACCAGATGCATGGCTAAGGATAAAACACACACAACAGCAGGTTAGCACGTGCTTCTTTAACAACATATTATATACATAAGTGCAAGTACAGCAAGATCACATGAGACTCATATACCTGAAGGCCTCAATTATGTAAGAGGTTGGTGTTGCACCTGAATTCAAATTAGGCTGCCATGACAATGTTACTGTATTTCTGCTGACATCTGTAACCTCAGGTTTTGATGGAGCACTAGGAATCAAGTTTGGGTCAGTGGGTCTTGGTGGCTGCACTGGGACTCCAAACTCTAACAAAGGAGAGAGAAATGCTGAGTATAGACAGGAAGCAGCTGTAAGCTAAATGCTGTTCACATCTGCACTGGCAATTTATGACAGAGTCAGATAACTTCTGCGTTTCAATTTCTGATTTTCCTTTATGTATTTTCTCCATGCAGAGAAACCCTAATTGATTTACCTTGGACCTCTATGTATGCACTCCATGTAGCTTCGCCACTTGGGGTTGAAGCAATGCAGGTGTACCGACCAGTGTCGCCCAGCTGAGTGAGACAAGAGAAGAATAAATATTTGAAACAATCAGGCACTCAGTGGGCTAGGAAAGTAATTACAGCTCTCTGTGTTCCCCCATGAATATGGATAAACGTATTAGCCTGCAAAAACTTTGAACCAGAAACTTCTTCCATTAGAAGTTATGATTTTGTGTGCGGCAAAATGAAAATGGATACTTATTCTGAGCATTGGTTAAAGCATCGGAAAAGCTGCAGATTCTAATTTAATGTTACCTATTCTGTAATGAACCAACTGAAGGCCAATTCTTGTAGCATTTATTCCTTACTCTGCAGAGGTCCTAATAAAATAAATTGAGAAGGAACTCAGATGACAAGACCCCATGCAACTGTCAACCTTCTGCCTAAATAATGCCTGGGGATTTGTCTGGACTGCTGCACTGGAGAGCACGTCATCCTTAAAACAAAGCTTAAATATTGCACAAGGCCTTGTACATATGGGGTTCCCTGTGTTGGTATAAATTTCACTCTACAGCAGACCCAAAAAGGAACCTCCATATGCTATTCTCATCCAGTTCTGAATGTTGGATTATTTGTCCATATGCAACTTAATCACATTTCAAAAGAGTTTCTTTTCTTCCTCAAAAGAAATGCTATCCTCCTAAGGTCCCAGCCTCAGCAGATGAGCTGAATGGAAGAGCTCAAAAATCAGAGGTTCAAATTCTAAGCCAGGGTAACTTGTAATTGGTAACAGGGCAACTCTAGGGAACATAGTAAAGTGATGCATTCAGCCTAATTTAAAAACTTACATTTCAAACCACAGAAAAGATAGCAGAGAATAGCCAGTATGTGAAAACTTAACATTTTAAAACATTTTACAGCGTGCGTGGCATGACCAGCAATACTGACCAGGTACTTGCTATAATTCCCTAAGGAAGCCAGGTATTTGACAGGTGGTTAATCATTTTAAGCTATGCTTACACTGTTGAGTGAATATATTTAAACTCTAGAAACTGTTTTGAAAAAGCTGGGTACATGGCTCTATTACTGCAGTATGCAAAACAAAGGTTTTCTTGACAAACATTTGAAATAATTAGATCATTTTAATCTATTAGTGCTAAAGCCCAAATAATTTAAAGATTCGCCTTACTGAAATACAAGTTTTGCTTTCCCCTTCATGTTTTAAGTACCAAATAATTCCCTTAATTAATACCTCTTAACAGCATTTTACCTTATGAAATCTGAAATAATGTGCCCTAGGCAGAATAAGCCAAGGTGTTAAGCATAAAGAATGAATTATCTGAAAGTATGTAGTATCAAATATTTCAATACATTTATTTAACATTTCATTAATTCTCATCATAGGATTTACTACTTCAAAGTGCCCGGAGGTGAAAAAACAAAGTGAAACAAACAATGAGAAAACCTGTTTGCCAGTTCAAGCTACCTTGGCATATCGGATCTGTAATGCTCCCGTCTCCAACTGCTTGATGCGAGAGTCCTGGGTAGAAACGAGGATCCCATCCTTTTTCCAGAGGATAGTGGGCATTAAAGTGCCTGTGGCCACACAGCTCAGTACTAAAGTACCATCTACAGCTACAGTCTGATTCACAGGACCCTGTCGAATGACAGGGGGAGGCCGGTCTGCAATCACTGCCAGAAGAAACAACAGGAAAGAGATTTCTGCAACTGGAAGCAATTTTCTAATCATCTAAGCAACAGCAGTTGCTTGAGGATTTGAAACAAGCTGAAGATAATTAACCAAGTAAAGTTGGAGGCATGCATTATTCAGAGGAGGGTGCATTATTAACATTATTAACAGGGCTCTGTTTTAGGGCCAGCCTTGTTCAATATCTTTA